AGTCTGAGCCTTTTTAAATCGATGATTTTTTGAATAGCTTGGTTCTGATTCTCCTGTTTTTAGCTCACACCACTTGTGTTTACTGCCTAGTCAGGTGACGTTATCGGCGCTATTTTTAGCAGGGCTTTCCCGAACAATCCAAGTGGTTAAACTGGACATTTGGAACGGACTATGAATATGGGGATAGCGAGGTAACATAAGTGGAAAAGCATACAATACATACATTCATTAAAAAAAATATGGCTCTTCACGTGATGTTCCTTTCATACAGAGACCCTTACTTTAAAGTTGCCTGGTAAATTTAATTGAAAATGGTAACCACTGCACTACCTACACAAATAAATACTCATGTATCGGCAGAACGCATAGTATTACGTTCATGAATAGGACTATGCATAGCATAGTATTTAAATTTTAATAAGACAGTTTAACCCCAATGTTCATCCTGAACTGAGCATGACCTTCTCACGTATTTGTCTGCAAATAAGAACGAATCGTATACGAACGATTTTCAAAAACACTTAAACTTTGTTCAACCGCTGGATATTGGTAATACAATACCGGTTGCAATTATTAATCTGATTCACACAAAATGTTTAAGCAAACATGTCCAGGAATGGCGTACTTTAAATTTGATTTTTACAGGCTCCTCGTACATGTACATAATCTTTCAATAAATTAAGAACTCATTTTTAAAAGAACACTATCCCAAATACTCGTTTTCGCCACCTAGATCGAAATTGCACCAGGGCCCGTTCTAATACTTAAGCATGGGTTTTGTGCTCAAGCTGAATTTCTTATTCCCGTAAATAATTCATGAATTAAATCTTATTTTGTCAAAAGATTTGGAAAATCTTATAGCCAGAAACTGTTTTTAATGTTTACATTTTACTTTTTGATCGTTTGACATGATCTAAGCGAGTGACAAGAAAGTTGATTTGAGCAAAGAATCCATGTTTGAGCATGAGAACGATTTCATAAATACGAGCCCTGGCCAGCTGAGTCAGCACTGTCATCATATGGGTTTTATCTTACCTGAATTTAAAGCCAAGACCAATCAATTAGGTAAACCCGAGTTAGAGGCAACATTTCGAAGCAATATTAGCTACTGTACAGGGTTTATGGTTTGATGTAGGTCCGGCCATTGTGTTCCGGGCCTATTTTATGTTCTTGGGTCGACCAGCTTCACTCATACAGGTATTTATGTCAGATCGTCCTGAACTAGAACAGAACCTTGTTGTTGAAGGACTTGTTAGATTATAAAACAAGTGATAAAAGCGCAATTTAAATATAATGCAATCACATTTAAAGTCATTTAAATATCTTTACGGAATTTGATGATCTCTTTGGACTGACGACAGTTCTATTGAAACTTGCAAAAATTGGATAAATGTTAAAAATGTACCAGTTTGAAATTTTAGTTTCAAGCGGTTAATCTAACAAGTCTTTGTAAAAATTGAAATAGGGCTACCTGTGTCCCATTTATAAAGGAGAGAAGAGGTTTTGTCGTATGAAAGCCCAACCTCCATTCAAACTTTAAAATGCTTTGGCCAACATATTCATCAATCATAGTTCACATGTGGTTTGTTTAACCTTACCAATTAAATAACCATTCACAAATTTCAAAAATGTTTTTGTCGAAGAAAATAAGAAATGGATCAGTCATGTCTCAAAAAATCCTTTTTAACAACACAGGAAAATGTATCTATGTCAAGAGTTTATTTGATCGCTGAACGTGATCGGGTCATGGTGGTTTTCACACAGTGACCTTTCCAAGTTATTTTGTTGTGGTTGTTGTTGTTGTTTTTCCTTCAGGCCTGAAGATTGGTTTGTAACAAGTTCACGACATGAAGAAACAATTTAGAGGCCAGTTATCAAAACATTAAAATGTAATATGGAAACCCTTATCAAAAACTGCATCGCTTGGTCTCTTCGTCACCATTGGTCAGTGATAAGTAATACAGAAAATCTCGGTCGTCAGAAGTCCGGTCAACTGTAAATGTTAAAATCTATAGAAGGATCAAAACAAAGCAATAAATGTTAACTCTTAACAGTAACTAATACACTGCAAGATACACGTGACTTTGTTAATGAAATATTTTCATTAGAAAACAAACAAGGACAGAAAAACTAGCGTTAGCCAAAATATTCCATGCTACAGTTTCATACCTGACGGTTCGAATTACAATTTTGTTGACATTTCTGTATTTCCTTATTGGTTCGTTTCTTCAAAAGAACGCAATACAATCACAGCTAGAGACGTTTAATCATTTACAACTCTGTTTTGATCAATAAAGAATCCATGCAATTTCCAGTGAGTCTGAGTAAAAAAACACTATGTGTGTGCAAAAAAGGAAATTGGCTTCATAAAAGTCTAGTCGTTCTAGTTGCCAGACGCTGTTCAATCTTCATTGCTGTGCATAGACATTGACGTTTGATTTAGAAACGACAATGACACCTTGGTATTCGATCGTCTTAGGGAATGTTTCCATTTTATTAAACACGTCTCATACATATTTAAATATTGGCATGTGTTGTATCTAGATTAATGGTTCCTTGAAGAATCAGAGCTTTAGTTAAATGTGTTAAAAGCCGATGAAATCAATTACAGTTTAATTAACGTAGGTATATCTACTAGTAAAGTGGTGCCAAGAAATCTGAATGAAAATATATGGACTAGTTAATATGAATGTGAATTTAAACAAGAACCTCTCTTTGTTGATCTTAAATGGGCTGTTTAGTTCAATGTGTCTAGGGAAATGTTTGCTAGTCTTATTATCACACACAAACTCTACCTGTTGAAATTGCAATTGGCGTTTGACATGTGACGCTAGCACCTTTATTTTGGAGGTAATAGGTCCAAAGGCTTCACATAAAACATAAATCAAAGTAAATACCCGTTTCTCAAAGACGATCAATATCACACCTTCAATGGGCAACCAAATTCAAAATAAATCAAACTGAAACAAATATGTCAGTATGTGCCTTTTAGTAAACTAAAAACACAACCATCTGAGTGTGACGACTTTGAGTGCGAAATAAGCAAAATAACCATACGATGCATGTTCTCCAGTATATTCTTATCTCGTTTCTCTAAAATTAAAATACGTTGACTTATATTAATGTCTGTGTCACAAGAAATGCAAAGAAGTAAGGAAATAGACACCTGATTAAAAAACATATAAAGTCTATGCAGAGAGCCATGTAAAGTAAGACATATATTACACTGTATGGTCATTTCTTCCAGGGAGGACGTTCACTGTTCCTCACGCATTTGTTGACTATCGGGAAACTGGTTCAAATAATTACTAGAAATACGAAATAGGGAAATAACACTTATTTAAAAATTCAGTTTCTGATGCAGAAAGCAACACAGTGTAAACATTTAACAGCTCCCGAGTTGACCCGAATGGAATCAATCCGTGATGACAAAAGCTTTGATGAACTGCAATGTTTATTATTTTTCTTACGCTTCCAATAAACAAAACCACACGTTTAGTATAACTATTACAGGTATATATAACAAATTCGAAATCGTAACATTTAACATGTTACGATTTCGAATTTGTTATATTCATGAAATTTGTTGTGCAACGTGGGAATGGCCTTAACTTTTCATCCGATACCCTAAAATATCTAAAACATAAGGGGCTTCAAACGCACCTTTCCCCTTCTGAAGTAATTATACATATGATTGTTTTGAGATTTGCGAAATATTAGCCAGGTGTCATAGGCTAGTAGTTAGCGCCTGCTTAGGCAGCTCCTGCAAATTCCTCAAAAATTAATTAATTAATGAATATTTTAATTGTATAGATTGTATGAATCGCATATCTATGTACTGTATAACACTTTATTCTAGCTAGATAGGGCGCTATATCAAATGTTGAATATTTATTTATTATTTCATTTATTATTCGGAACACTTTTTCATTTTCTGATCTTAGTAAAAGTGAAAATGGCGATATGGTGCAGTAAACCGTGTACTTTATTTGACTTTCTACATTAATACACTTTATTTTTAAAAAGGTGCTCCCTTACTGTTTATTTCTAATTATAAATATTAATATTTTTTTCAATTGAAAGTGAATTCCATGCAACATTATAGTAAAACATATCAATACATTTATATGACTGCAGTCGAAATGAATAATATTTTAAAAATAATCATATTTTCGGAAACCTCAGTATCACTTAAATTAAGTATGATCAATAAGGTCGGGTAACTCTGATACTGACGTTAATATATTTGTGACATCATAATTGTAACGTTGAAAATATAAAAGAAATTTTCTTAATTTGGGTTTTACCCTTATGGATTATTTTTAACGATAACGCGATTAATAAATATATTTAAAATGATTATGTTGTTCAATAAAGGAATGGGTCTGGAAATAAAGTAATGATTGTACAATAATAAAAACGTGAATGTACATTTCGTTATTTTAGGTGGTTTGATGAAGGTTAATTGGTAAATAGTACATAATGTTCATAGACTGGTCCATTTTAAGTATTATGCTGGACATGCAATATACATGTCGAAGTAACTTGTATACGTTTATACAGGTATGTATGTTAGATAAGTACATCTGTATTATACATACATAGTTATTAATAATAAAGATAAATAATAATTCCCTAATATCTGATGTATAAAAGAGCACGTATCGTTAGTGCGAAAAATATTACTTGAACAAACCTTAAGTCACCTAAATGTTTTCTTTTTATGATGGTCTCACGTGATTCGAGGTAAGAGGAGATGCTTCTAAATGACACTGACTCCATTGCATCCATAGCCCCATGAACGCAATTTCTTTTGATAGTGTTAATATAAGGGCTTGCTGGGATAATGTAAATATTAATAGATGAACGCAGTGATACTGTTATGTTCTACTAACAACACAGTTATTTGACACCCTGTCTAGGTCTCCTGTAAAGAAGGGTATTATAGGCACCGCTTGTTGAAGTCCTTAAAGAGCACATAACGGCACAAGACACATGCATTGGTATTTTCGTCTCACTTTATTTGATAACAGAGACAAACAAATATAATTGCAAAAGTAAATTATGATTTGAACACCGTTTCAATGTCTCTGTCAATGTCAGATAACTGTCTTATTTCATTTCCTGTCACAACGGGTTGCGTGAGCTGTAGCTTTTCGCTTGTTTTGTTTTGCAATCTGCACTAACCTACCGATTGAATAAATACGTTTCGACTGTTTTGATTTCGCATTATATAATAACATTCCGAAAAAAATTGCGAAACATGACAAAAGACTGGAAAATAGATGGAAATATGTTGAATATTGTTTACATAAACTGGTTATTAATGTGTTATCACAAATTATCAGAGCGTGACATTGCTGATAAGGAGTCTCAAATGTGATGACGTATTTACCAGATTGTCCTGACACGACAAAGGTGATCCTGTCCTCTCACAAAGATTGCTCTCAGTCAAGAAATCCATTATTGCGATTTGAATGGTTTTTTAAAGGAATGTGTGTTATAGTAATACAAACTGCATTGGTCCCTTTAAACGTCGTTCTCCACAGGGTAGACTCTCTATATAATTTGTTTCAAAATAGGAGACACATATATACATACGGTATGTATATGTATATATATACTGTTATATATTGTGAATATATGTGATTTATTGTTGAATATACTTGATATAAAACTGCTTACACATATAAATGGAAGCTATTAGCATGAAATAATCTGATAATGTACTTCCAGTTAGTATTCCAAAAAAACAATCCAGTCTTTCACCATTCTTTACATAATATCATTGTACATGTATATTTCTCTCTTAGACGTTTGGTAAAGTATACATTTTATAATGTCTCATGAGGATTTCAAACATTAGAAAATAAACAAAACATGTAGAAGTGATGAAATAATTTTGACACTATGACGTCATATCCGGCGCGAAATATATTTGTATATCCAAACACGAGTAATCAGTAAATGAAATCACATCCCATGGTGAAGGCACGAGTTTTACACACATAAACATACACAGGTATGGTAATGACACGCGGAATAATTTGGACGCTTACCTCCGGGCGCAATCCATCAATTCCATAGTTTGTATTCACATCTTCCTTATTGTGTATGTAAATTAGGCCTTGCACATGTACGTGATCTGACAGCTCCTGTCAGACATATATTAATATATATACATTATGTAAGTGTTTTGTAAAATTACGTTGCGAACAATGAAAGCAAAGCTTCCCGCTATAATCCACTGTAACAATGTAAAAACAATAATGTACCTTGCTCTTGGTTCGATCAACGTAACACTGGCGTCCATAGTTTATCACATAGAGTTCTGTTGACGGACATTGTACTAGCTTGTTCACGTCCTGATGATAACCGATTCACGTCCGTTATGTTGAGATTTTTCCACATTGTTCTGGTTATGGTCAACAACCGTCGGGCGTTCCACGATGATCGGCCTACCGCCGTACGTAGAATGACGTCCATACACGCGTTCTATGGGTTTCTGGACAGTGGTCGCCACGTGCAGGCGTTTGTAACTGCCCCCGCGATTGGTTGGGGCAGTGTGATGGTTGGCATGGTGACGGTTGTGTTCGGTCAGCATGTACGCACTAGGTGCACGTGAAGACCGGACACTACCGGATATACTACCGTAACTTGATGTGCTGTAGACTGCCGAGCGAGGGCGCGGACGGCCGTGAACCCTCTGTCTAAGGACCACTTCATCCCTCCAGTTACCCTGGGGCTTGACAATGGAACGTCTGTCCCCTCCCCAGGATTTGTAGTTGGCGTCTCGGACATGCTCATTAGACTGGACCCGGGGGGTCTCGGTGGAAGTATAAACCTTAGTGGTAGAGTCGGTTGAGGACCGGTAGTCGGGAACAGTAATTCTGACTTCTCCCTCCATCTTAGGGGACGCAGCGCGCTCGACTTTACCGTTGGTGATAATTTGGTGTCGTACCTCTCCGTTTGTTTTAGAATGGTGGACAACCTCCGTCACTTTTTCCTCCCTCATTAATAGCACATGTGGATCCGGCTGTTCAATCCTCCTCATTACCACCACCCCCTCAGTATTTGGTTGCTCTGTCCCTTTTTGAGTGACAACAACAGATTTTTGATAATCCTCAGGGCCGATTCCGGTGGATTTCTCGAGAATAAATTTGATATCTCTCAATTCCTGTGAAAGGACGTCCAACTCGTCTCGGAGTGATGTCTCAGAAGCTTCTGACACATTGTCTGACAGGTGGCGGTGATGTACAATGTGTTTTTCTTCCCGTAAGACTACATTGCCGGAAGTGATCGTATGCGCATGCGTTTTTTCCTCAGTTGTCAGTGTTGAAGGCTCGACGTCTGCTATTGGATTGATGTATGTTCTAGCCACACCGTTCTCAGGATGGCTCCCGCCGTTCATATGAATATGGATGTCCTCGTTTACCTTGGCTCGTTCATTGTGCATGTCTACCACTGCACTTAATTGACGATTGTTATTGTTTTGGTTTTTAGAACGAAAAGTCCAGTTTGCACCTTCAGACTTTTTTGTTTCAACGTTATATCCCTCTCCTGGGTTGGATTGACGCTTTAGGTCCTTGAAATATTTAACGAACATGCCAGCATCCAGACCACTGGTGCACCGGAAGGCCAAGATCTGGTATTTCGTTGGGTGGTCTTTTCCAATCACCAACAGACACGAAGGGTGATACTTGTTCACAGTTATGAAGTAAACATTTTCAATTGGAAGGTAATCCGTCATTTGTTTTCCTGTCAGAGCGGCAGACTTCATTACGGTTACTCCATGTTTATTGATGGTCAGTTTGACCTTTGACCCTTTTCCTGCACTGACCTGCTTGGCCATTTCATTAATAACATTATCCAGAATGGTATCATCGTGCCACGTGCCGATCTGGTACACTTTCTTCTCCATGGTTTTGTTTTGGTATGTCCCTGTTAAAGATATCTTCAGTTAAACTCTCCCGAGTAGTTGAACCCTACAGATGATCACAGAGACTCGTCCAGAACCATCAGCAAGGAAACCTGTGACGAAGAGAGAAGACACATACCAGTTACATGTTTGTCGTCCAATAGTCGTTAGAGCAATAACAGCTAAGCGCCTACACAGAGAGTACTTAATCCAAAACCGGTTTACAATACGCTGGCGTCCTACTGACACTGCCTACCCCGGTGTTACCGAGCCGTACAGGGGTGCTGCGAGGTGAATAGAGCGTGCGACACTTCTACCTAGAGTTTAGACAGAAATATACACGACTCGCCCGAGCAATTATTATCTACACCACACGGCAGTGTTTTAGTTAAGTTTATACCTATCTACGATCCGTCAAATGTTCGTTTTAAATGACAAACTCACAACACCGTGACGATCCGAACTGTCATCACCTAGTCGTCATACTGGTGTGTACTAACGAGATATTTTACCTGTCCTTCTTGTGTAAGCCTACCTACCGCTAGTTATATATTGCGGACTTCTCGACCTTTATCTGATCAATATGTAAGATAACTAGGTTTACAAGCAAGGTATTAATTGCCATGTATAACGTGATAAACTATGACACGTTTAATTAACACTGAGCTAGTCACCTGGTGTCGTCGAGGTGATGGTAACAACACTTGAACCTTAACATGACTCAGGGACATTCAGTTACAAGGGTTGTATATATTAAGAAGTAAAAGTAAAACGATTGTTACATATAAAATGTACTAAAAAATGAACTCGGAGTATTTCATGAATCTTGTTTTCATATGAAAATATTCTGTATTCTCGAAACGTATTTCAGAGACACCTGTGCATGTGTATGAATATCAGTAAGGTACTAATCAAGAAGTAACAGGCGGAGAAAATGCTCTGTAGGTTGAAATAAACGAGATGTATTACAGAGCAGTGTAATATGGGTTAAAGACTATTAGTAACACACTTGCGAAGATACAGTATGCCAGAAATTTATCACTCTGCTTTATACATGCAGCTGATTTGCCCTTCTAGGACTCATCAGTGATGCAAGGGGCCAAAAGGTGGAAAATATAAATTGGTCTAAACTACTGTTGAGACAGATGGGAAGGTTCGTAACACACCTTAATTATACAGTAACATGTATTAAATTAATTCTTAAAGTTTCAATACCAATATGCGGAGTTTCAATACCTATATGCGGAGTTTCAATACCTATATGCGAAGTTTCAATACCTATATGCGGTGTACAATTTGTCAAATTCGTCAGACAGGGCAAGAACTAGAACAAAAAATACATAATGTCAACACAACAGGGTACAACTACAGTGTGCAACTCCAACTCAAGGTGTTTAACTAACTTTCTCAGCACGTACATTAATAAACACCTTTTGACAGGGTGCCAAACCAGTGTAATATTGATTGACACTTTATACTTTCGTTCTATGATCAAACAAAACATTTAGTTTACTGGTTCAACTGTCGGTGGACGTTACTGAAAGCATGATGTCACCTCTTTTGGACGCTTCGTCGTACTTACTTTAAATGACTACTGTTTGCAATATTGATTAGCGTATGAGGTATACTTCTATGTATATGTAAGGCACATGAGTGAAAGGCCCTGTTTCATAGTTCGTGTCACTCAAAATATTTGCTGTACGTATGAGCTCAGAAGGTCATGTTAAAAACATGCATTGGCGCTATCACAGTCCATCTGTTACCAATTTTAACCTGTGAATGCTCATTCAGTCAAATACCATTACATGTAACGACCACGTGGTAAATGAGGGAATCTGGTGGAGAATCATGGAACTCAGGTTTGTCCGGCAGAGCATGACTTAATAAAAATATATATTGATTTTAGTTAAGTTTGATTGTCCCTATCTTTGTCAGAACTGATCTGCGGACATTCAGTAAAATGTCAAAATTTGGATATTTATTCATGTTTGCATTTTACATCTTTGCTATAACTTTATGAACATATAACATCGAGGCAATGTTTTGTTATTAAAAGGAACACATTCTGACGTTAGATAAAATCGCTTAAGCCATGTATGAAAAAGACAGACCATGCTATTTCCCTTCACAATGTAAATCTGTTACTTGATTTCAACACCTCATGTACATTTCAGCTTACATTTGAATTTATTCACTTTAGGAGCAAATATAACTTTATTTGTTTTGCAAAACGTAAAATTTACAACGATTGTCAAATATTATAAACGGTTTTAATTTTGCAAAGCCAAGTTTTGGTCACGGCATGATACATTTTATAAACACGTGTTTATGTCACATGCCCCAAAATTGTGATACACGTTTTACTTTTAGCGGGGACTAACATATGTATTGGGTGTTATACGTCTATCATATTCTTCAAAGAAGTAGTTCAAGTGTAACCTAAATAGGTATTTACATGTATAGTTGTATACCAATATACGTCTACTTAACACAGTATGATGTGTCTACCTGTGTGACGTCCTATTAATAACGTATACCTGTGGTTACAGGTACAGAAGACAAATGTACATTAGTTAACTATTAAACATGCAGAATAATAATGCTACTTCAATGGCGTCGCTTCAGAACACGCCAGCTAAACGATCAATAATATGTCTAAGATTATTTATCGATCGATAGTGATTAATTATACATGTTGTTCAAATGTCCGAAAAAAGGCATATTTTCACCTTACATAAACACATACCTATTGTTCGAGGTTGAAATCTACAAACAGCTTATAGACTGACGTAATGTATACAATATACCTAACCTTTCATAGCAAGACATCGAACTCGTGACATTTCCCTGTACGAGGTAGCTAGCCACAACCGTAAAATGTTACCGATAATAAATATTATTTATTTTTTAAATCGAAGCTACCTTAAAGCCTAAGATGAACTGAGGGGGAGTAAACTGAAGTTATATCGCACTGAAGCATGTGTCTCTACCTTGAGGTAGAGAGTCCCACCTCTTTTCTATTGTGTTAAAACGATGTTTGCCATAGAGATGACACACACAAATCACGTACAATTTGACAAATGAATGAGTGTTTGAAAGGGTGTATAAATGATGAATGACCTCATGTTGAGAGAAAAAAAATGGTCTCAAAAACAATTTAGTCAAAGGTCAATTCCAGCACGTTTTGCATTAGACAAAAAAAATAAATCAAAAGTACATAAAATATTGCTTTACCTTCTATATCAAATCTAAAACACACTTGATGACGCACAGAAAATTAAACGTCAAATGGGGTATAAACATAATCAATAGAAACATATCATAGCTCATGACAAAGTAGCGTCACAAAAGGGATGGCTTCAAACCTGTCATAATGTGAAGGTAAATAATTTATAATAGACATCTCATCGAGACATTCTGATAAAGTAACACGGCTAGTAAAATTGAAAAGGAAACGAGATAATTGTGCATGCTTGTCATCAGACCGCAGACGTGCCTATAAATGTGACGTAGGCGTCACCTGACGTTCATTATGCATGTTGCTATTAGTAACATAAGGCACAGGGAAAGCAGTAGTAGACAAATGAAACAATACAAACCTAGATTAATACGCCTACAATACGTGCATCAAATATCTCATGTTTACATTAATGTCCCCACACGTAGAGGGCATAGAAAGTCCTCACATGTGTACCCATGTCATGTCTTACCATCAAATATAAAATACACAGGTATAATGTTTTAAATTTCAAAATATGTCACTGTCAAAGTGAACAAAAAGGATTAGACAAGTAGTTATTTCAGCATTACCAGTCCTTTAGAAAGTCTATTGAGTGTAGAAGTATCATTGAAGAAATGATTCGTTAGATTTGTCGGTGTACTTCTCTTCAACAAAGCTGTTATTGTCCCCAGTGATATAATGTCCAAGTGTAAAAATCTCTTTATTTACTTTACACGAGTTACTCAATTCATGAATGTGTCCCACAATTTTACTCTACAATACACACTGACTTCACAGCTTTTCATTTTATAATTCAAAACACTACGTTCACCTCACCAAAGGCAAGCCTCACAATGTGTATATTTGTATATTTGTATAGGAGATTTCTTATCACAAATCTAGTTAACGTCATTTGACTTTGCTAAAGGCGTACCTGAAATTGCATTCATTGTTTGATATTCAAATATTGTTTACATATACGTAAGAACGTTAATTTTACCTCACCAGAGTTTGGTCTTATTAACATACCTGTGTGTAGGTGAGACATACCTGTATGCACCTGCCAAGTAGACGCTCCTAACAGCATTGGATATATATTTACCTGCTGTTCTATAAATACTTAATAATAATTTATTATGGATTTCGTCCTACACAATAAACATATTATTTAAATTAGTATGCAGAACACGACTCGCCAGACATCGCCTGATATTTGTCGGGATAATCTACATATTGATTTATATTCCATAATATTACATAAAAAACATGTTGTTTTGCGAGTTTACTTTGTACACGTATTTTGATAAATATTTTAAACACCGGAAAAAGAACCCACAGAACCTTCAGGTTAAGCGTTCAAAAAGCACAATAATTGCGCCAGTAAAGGTGAACAGAAATCAACTATGAAATAAATTCATTAGTACTGTGACAAAAGAAGGCTCATTCGTAACTGTATCTTTAATTCTGCATTAGTCTTAGATAACTGCTGTGGCATTGGGATGGCACAAAATAGTCTTATTAATAATATATTAATGACACTAATACGATATAAGAACATTACTAAATGTTACTAGACTTACACTAGACGAGCTAAGCCTGTACTGTAATGGTTTCAGATTAGCACTAAGTACTACAAAGCTACACAAACAACAGCTGAGGTACTAGAATGGCTCTATAACAAATGTATGGATGTAAGTAGCAATAAAAAAAATTAAAAAATAATAATAAGTGGATTGGCACTAGAATAATTGCAATAGCACTAGAATGACATTAAAATAACTGAAAATGTACCAGAACTGGATTCGTACAATGTAATGGTACGTCAAAAGTCGCATTAAAACTAGAATTTCACCGGAATATAAATTTATGATACATGTACTTGAAAAGTTTCAA